ATCACAATGATCTGAACTGCCATGGGTTCAGTTCAACAGGGATTCAGTGAACTTTAAAGAAGTTCACGTGCTGAAGCTGAACCCCATTGACATCAATGGAAACAGAATCTGTCAAATTAAAAATGCAGTTTTTCGGAACTAATAGGCAAGCAAGGGTCAATAATAGCATTGGGGTGGGCACTGCCGTTGGGAACGTGTACCAATGTAAAAATTGTGCTTTTATGCCTTTGGTGAGCAGCAGTGATTTTTTTAAATGATTAAATTGAAACAGTAAAAATACTTTTATTATTGCCCCGGGGTGTCCTAATCCTGCCTGTAAGGGGGCGTCTCTGTGATGTATAGAAAGCGCTGCAGCAGTACTGACATTTACAAAGGAAAAAGGTTTCAAAATTGTTGGCAGAAGACATAACTGATACAGTAGTTTTTTGTTTAGAAAAGCACACAGACCCCTCCAAGGTTCTGTTATGCATTTTGGGGGTCCTTAGGAGAGGTTTGTGTAATTTATTTATTTATTTTAAATTTAATTTTTGCTGTAGTACATCCTTCAGCTAGACCATAAAAAACAGAGACCCCCAAAATACATATCAGACCCTTTTAGGGAGCACCTCACAAAAAAAAAAAAACTGAAAAAGTGTGTAGTCCCCCAAGAAATTCATACCAGACCCAAAGGTGTTTAGGCAATGACATTGATGAAATATGGAGACACCTATTTCTATGAGGAAAGCGTTTCTCCCTACAATCTCTGGATCCTAGTGTAGTACTATGGATGTCATTGGTGAAATACCATAAAGCTCAGGCTATTGTTTGCCTCATTGACACTATGCTGACAAGTCTGGGTCCATTGCTAGGAAATGTGTCCTTTCTTGGCCAATAGTTTACATGTCACATATACCACAACAGCATGTATTTTATTTTGTATTAGAGGATAGTGAAAATAGTCACTGTGTAATTTACCAATGGGAACTTTAATGTGGTTGTAAACCCTCCCATATACCCAGTGACCGGCCTCACAGGAGGATTAAACAAATTCTCTTACATAAGTTGCACCAGTTTACCTGCTGTCTACTCTTCTCTACAACTGTTTTAAGAACATCATTTTAAAGCTTGTCTGAGAGTTCAGAAAAAAAGGGGGCAGGGAGCTGAAAGCACACACTGTAGAGCTCAGTGAGGAAAGCTCTGAGAGCTGATTGGAGGGAAGAGACACCCCAACCTTCACACAGCACACAGGAAGAGAGCTCAGGGTGTCAATCTGCTGGATGTCCCTCCCCATCACCATTTTTCTTTTGGTGCCCGGACAATAGAGGAAACAGAGCAGAGGAACATGTACCAAAGTAAAAAGTAATTCTAAAAAAAATTATTTTGTTGGGTAGCAGCGATATTAATATTGCCTTATTGACAACATAAAAAATGCAAAATTCCTCAAATAACATGCCTGGTGGGTGTCCTCAGCCTGCCTGTGAATGGATATATATCTATTATGTATACAACCTTCTACAGCAAAATTGATCTCTGCAAAAAAAAAGCCATTAATTTGCTCCTAAATTACTACTCATGACTACTTTGTAAAATGTGGCCCGGGACTCCCTTCACCTACAGTTTCAAGAAAAAGTATGTGAACCCCTTGGGATTACATGGAGTTTTGCATGAATTGGGCATAAAATGTGCTCTGAACGTCATCTAAGTCACAACAATAGAAGAACACAGTCTGCTGAACATAATACTACACAAACATTAGATGTTGCCATGGTTTCATTGCACATAACATGTAAACATTCACAGTGCAGGGAGGAAAAAAGTATGTGAGGCCCTAGCTTAATGACTTCTTCCAGAGCTAATTGGAGCCAGGAGTGAGCCAACCTTGACTCCAATCAGTGTGATGATATTGGATTTGTTGCTGACAGCTGTCCTGCCCTTAAAAAACACACACCTGTTTTGGGTTTACTGGTTTCAAGAAGCACTGTCTGCTGTGAACCATGCCTCGCAGAAAAGAGCTCTCAGAAGACCTACGATCAAGAATTGTTGGCTTGCATGAAGCTGGAAAGGGTTACAAAAGTATCTCCAAAAGCCTTGATGTTCATGTGTCCACGGTAAGACAGACTGTCTACAAATAGAGAAAGTTTAGCGCTGTTGCTACTCTCCCTAGGCGTGGTCGTCCTGTAAAAATGACTGCAAGAGCACAGCGCAGAATGCTGCATGAGGTAAAGAAGAATCCTAGAGTGTCAGCTAAAGACCTACAGAAATCTCTGGCACATGCTAACATTTTTTTTGACACATCTACAATAAGGAAAACAATAAACAAGAATGGAGTACATGGGAGGACACCACGGAGGAAGCCATTGCTGTCCAAAAAGAATATTGCAGCACGTTTGAAGTTTGCAAAAGAGCACCTGGATGTTCCACAGCACTACTGGCAGAATATACTGTGGACAGATGAAACCAAGATTGAGTTGTTTGGGAAGAACACACAACACTATGTGTGGAGAAAAAAAGGCACAGCACACCAACATCAAAACCTCATCCCCACTGTAAAACATGGCGGAGGGAGCATCATGGTTTGGGGCTGCTTTGCTGCCTCAGGGCCTGGACGGATTGTTGTCATTGATGGGAAAATGAATTCCAGAGTTTATCAAGACATTTTGCAGGAAAACGTACGACCATCTGTCCACCAACTGAAGCTCCGCAGAGGATGGGTGATGCAACAGGACAATGACCCAAAGCATACAAGTAATTCAACAAAACAATGGCTGCAACAGCACAGAATACGCCTTCTGGAGTGGCCCAGTCAGAGTCCTGACCTCAACCCCATTGAAATGCTGTGGCCTGACCTTAAGAGAGCGATTCACACCAGACATCCCAAGAATATTGCTACACTGAAACAGTTTTGTGAAGAGGAGTGGTCCAAAATGACTCCAGATCGTTGTGCAGGTCTGATCTGCAACTACAGGAAACGTTTGGTTGAGGTTATTGCTGCCAAAGGAGGGTCAACCAGTTATTAAGTCCAAAGGTTCACATACTTTTTCCTCCCTGCACTGTGAATGTTTTCAATGCTATATGCAATTAAACCATGGCAACATCTAATGTTTGTGTAGTATTATGTTCAGCAGACTGTGTTCTTCTATTGTTGTGACTTAGATGATGTTCAGAGCACATTTTATGCCCAATTCATGCAAAACTCCACGTAATCCCAAGGGGTTCACATACTTTTTCTTGCAACTGTATATCAAAGGGTCTGGTTTTCTCCTTATGTTCCCCTTAAATTCCCTTCCAGGCCTGATAGGAGGTTTGGGAGGGGGATTCCCCACAGTGTTTTTTTAACACGATCCCCACCACTTTGTCTACATGATGTCAGCCAGGAATCCCAAGATGACAGCTGCATGAGGTGGAAATACATCACTGGCTGTGCAGAGGAATTTCTAAATGTACGGCTTCCCACTGCATCCCGGACCCCGCTCTCTCTCGGATATCTACTCTCCCCGGACCCCGCATTCACTATATCCGCTCTCCCCAGACCCTGCATTCACTATATCCGCTCTCCCCGGACCCCGCATTCACTATATCCGCTCTCCCCGGACCCTGCATTCACTATATCCGCTCTCCCCAGACCCTGCATTCACTATATCCGCTCTCCCCGGACCCCGCATTCACTATATCCCTCATCCCCGCTCCCCCGGACCCCGCATTTACTATATCCGCTCTCCCCGGACCCCGCATTCACTATATCCGCTCTCCCCGGACCCCGCATTCACTATATCCGCTCTCCCCGGACCCCGCATTCACTATATCCCCTCTCCCCGGACCGCGTTCACTATATCCCCTCTCCCCAGACCCCGCATTCACTATATCCGCTCTCCCCGGACCCCGCGTTCACTATATCCGGTCTCCCCGGACCCCGCATTCACTATATCCTCTCTCCCCGGACCCCGCATTCACTATATCCGCTCTCCCCGGACCCCGCATTCACTATATCCGCTCTCCCCGGACCCTGCATTCACTATATCCGCTCTCCCCGGACCGCACATTCACTATATCTGCTCTCCCCGGACCCCGCATTCACTATATCCGCTCTCCCCAGACCCTGCATTCACTATATCCGCTCTCCCCAGACCCTGCATTCACTATATCCGCTCTCCCACAGTACCCAGGATATGGAAATGCAATTATTTTAGTAAATATAATCTGCTAAATACCTTTTCTCATCAGCAGTATATAGCAGTCTTGTGACTTCTATCAGTGTCCTGCAGAGCACTGGTTACAGCATGTAGGAGTTTTCATTCTGCTCTAGGAGTATGCAGGGCCCCTGACCTCTGTCTGCTGATTGGCCCTGTGCTGAACACATGCACTCTCCCAAGAAAAAAAAATGTGCAGAGTAACTCCACACAATATGTGTTACCATCAGGAGATAAGAGAGGGACACTAGAAGAAGGGGAGGATCAGAGAAGTCAGGATCAAACAGAATTTTTACACAATTAATGTTATACAGGATTTATATAGCGCCAACAGGTTGAGCATCGCTTTACAAAATGAAGGCAGACATTACAGTTACAATACAACTTGGTACAAGAGGAATTAGAGGGCCCGGCTCGTTAGAGCTTACAATCTAGGAGGAGGGGTTGAGTGATACAAAAGGTAATAGCTGTGGGGGATGAGCTGATGGAGGAAATAAATGGCAGTTTCCTAGTTAGAAGCAGGATAGGCTTCTTTAAAGAGAAAAGTTTTCAGGGATCATCTAAAGGTGGATAGATTAGGAGATAGCCAGGCAGATTGGGGTAGGGAGTTCCATAGGATGGGAGAAGCTTGGGAGAAGTCATGGATGTGAGCATGGGAGGAGGTGACATGGAAACTAGAGAGCAGAAGGTCTTGGGAGGATGGAAGAGAGCGGTTTGGTTGATATTTTGAGACCAGGTTGGTGATGTAGCTGGGGGCAGAGTTGTGGATGGCTTTGTAAGTTGTTGTTAGTATTTTTAATTTTATTCGTTGGGTGAATGGAGGCCAGTGGAGGGATTGTCAGACAGAGGTAGAGGACACTGAGTGGAGGCCAGTGGAGGGATTGGCAGACAGGGGTGGAGGACACTAAGTGGAGGCCAGTGGAGGGATTGGCAGACTGGGGTGGAGGACACTGAGTGGAGGCCAGTGGAGGGATTGTCAGACAGAGGTAGAGGACACTGAGTGGAGGCCAGTGGAGGGATTGGCAGACAGGGGTGGAAGACACTAAGTGGAGGCCAGTGGAGGGATTGGCAGACTGGGGTGGAGGACACTGAGTGGAGGCCAGTGGAGGGATTGGCAGACAGGGGTGGAGGACACTGAGTGGAGGCCAGTGGAGGGATTGGCAGACAGGGGTGGAGGACACTGAATGGAGGCGAGTGGAGGGATTGGCAGACTGGGGAAGCAGACATTGAATGGTTGGTAAGGTGGATGAGCCTGGCAGCAGTATTCATGATGGACTGGAGGGGGGGTGGCCTATGTAAAGTTAAGCCAATGAGGAGGGAGTTGTAGTAGTTGAGGGCGGGAGATGACCAGGGGGAGTGAATTAGAAGCTTTATGGCATCATTGGTTAAAAAGAGGCGTATTCTGGAGATGTTGCGGAGGTTGAGGCAGCATGATTTGGACAGGGATTGGATGTGGGCCTGAAAGGATAGTTCAGAATCCAGGGTTACACCTTGCACCCTGGCATGCAGAGATGGGTTGATAGTGGTGCTATTGATCCTGACTGAGAAATCAGGGGAAGAGGCACATGGGGGAAGAAATAATATAAGCTCAGTTTTGGATACATTAAGTTTTAGGAAGTGGGTGTGACATCCAGTCTGTTAATAAATCGGTGATACGTGAGGAAACTGATAGGGTGAGCTGAGGAGTAGAGAGATAGATTTGTGTGTCATCAGCATAGAAATGATATTGGAAACCATGGGAAGCTGTCAGCTGACCCAAGGAAGAGGTGTAGATTGAGAATAGGAGATGTCCAAGGACAGAATCTTGGGGGACCCCGACAGTAAGAGGAGTAGCAGAGGAGGAAGTAGAGTTGGAAGTGACAATGAAGGTGCGGTGAGATAGGTAAGATTTGAACTAATGGAGAGTACAGTCATGGAGACCAAGTAAATAGAGTTTTTTTGAGGAGGGGGGTCAACTGTGTCAAAGACAGCGGAGAGGTCCAAGAGAAAGAGTACAGAATAGTGACCATTGGGTTTTTGTGGTTATTAAGCCGTTTTTGTGAGTTTTAGGAGAGCGGTTTCTGTGGAGTTTTGTGGGCAAAATTCAGACTGAAGGGATTAAGAAGGTTATTCTCAATAAGGTGGCAATTCAGCCGGTTGTAGACTAGACCTTCAAGGAGTTTGGAGGCAAAAGGGAGTAAGGAGATGGTTAGGTTGCTAAGATTGGTGGGGTCCAGTGAGGCTTTTTTAAGTATGGGGGTGACTAGTGCATGTTTTAGAGAGTTGGGAAAGATGACAGTAGAAAGGGAGAGATTGAAGATATGAGTTATAGAATGAAGAAGAAGAGCCAGAGGGTGACTGTAGTATTTGCGAGGGAACATGGTCCGGGGAACAGGTGGTTAGGTGGGCTTTAGAAAAAAGTTTACCAACCTCCACTATAGTAGCTGGGTTACACAAGGGAAGTATAGATTGTGTAAGTGGACAAGGAGTGTAGGGTGAGGGAGTTATCTGTACAGAAGAGATCTCATCACAAATTGTATCATTCTTATTTTTGAAGTGATTAGCGATCTCCTGAAGTAAGAGAGTTAAAGGTAGAGAGTTAAAGAAGAGTTGACAGGGATTGCATGAGAGGGTGTTAATGAGAGTGATAAATAGGTCTGTTTGGCAGTGTGGTGACAAGAATTGTATTTTTGAAGGGAAGATTTATATTGGTCGAAGTCTTGCTGGGTCCTAGTCTTACGCCATAAACTCTCAAAAGCACGGCTATGTTTTTGAGGCATCTGGTATTGTCTGTTTGCCTGAGCTGGAGCGGTCAGGGCCTAATTCTATGTGTAGTGAGGGGGGCCAATGTGTCCACGGTGGATGACAGTGAACTATTGTAGACAGAAGTGGCCAGGTTGGGGCAGGACAGGGCTGAGATTTTGTCATAGAGACAATCTGTTGCTGAAAAAAGAAGAGAAGGGTTAGATAACAAAGGTTTCTACGGGTAACTGTTTGGTAGTTGGAAGACAAGGAGGAGGAAGCCAAGGAGAGAGTGAAGCTAATAAGGGAGTGATCAGAGAGAGGAAGAGGAAAGTTGGTGAGGTTGCAAGGAGTACATAGATAGGAGAATACAATGTCGAGGGGTAGTTACCATTGGAGCGAGAAGAAGCATGTGTCCATTGTTTTAGGTCAAAAGAAAGTGGTTAGGCTCAGAAGTTTAGAGGTAGCAGGAGTGTTAAGATTAACGGGGATGTTGAAATCACCAAGAATGATTGTGGGAATTTCAGAAGAGAGAAAGTAAGGCGGCCAGTCAGAGAGGTCATCATTGATACCAGTCCAGGAGGCTGATAGATCACAGCAATTCTTAAAGAAACTAGAGAGAGAATAGACGAATAGAGTGAACTTCAAATGAGGGAGGGACAGAGAGGGAGTTTGAATGAGAGGACCTAAAAGTGCTTTGAGAAGGAGGAGTAGGGAACTCCATTTTATCCACTAGGTGGGAAAGTGAGTCCAGAGGAGAACATGGGAGAGGGCTGCAGGAGAGGGACATCAGATTCATGAAGCCAGGTTTCTGTAATTGAAGCCAGTTAAAGCGCTTTGTGATAATTCGCATGGAAGAGGTGAGTTTGTTACAGACAGAGCGGGCATTCCAGATCCAAGAAAAAGGGGAGGCTGGAGCTGCAGAGGATTACCCCCACTTAACAAGGGAAGAAGAAGAAAAGTAACCATGATTGTGGCTGCAGTTAGAGGATTTTACTGTTGGGGTGCTGGGTAACACTTGATAAAAAAAAAGATGGCTTGCCCAGGATTTCATAAAATGTCTCCAGATGTTAGGAGAAGCAAAGGGGGGGAAGAAAATATGGGAGTATGACTTATATGGGGGACAGGTCCCAGTGTCTGAAGGTTCCAGTAACATTTTGTATGTGGGTTCAGATTATCAGGAGTTGATGAGTACAGTAATAAGGTGAAGAAAGGAGTGAGAGCAGAATATATTACATGGTGGGGTGGATTCAGAAGTAATGAGAGAGTTTGAAGAGAGAGGCCCTCTGAGACAATTTAGGGAGTGCATTTTCACAGAGTGGTGAGATGAAGAAGCAGACTGGATAAGAGCTGAGGAGCCATCTGTGTTTTTGGGAAACAGGTCACCTGTAGATGCGTTTGGTATTTGACATGTAAATGTCCTTCTCGCTTTTGTGGTTTGCTGAAGTGCAGAGCCCAAGTGCAATGCTGACAATACTTAATCCAAGATCAATAGGTTTGCAATCAATGCAGAGGAACCCCTTAGGTTCTACAGTGAGTATAACAAGCATATTAAGCTGCAATCTAGGAGAGGGATGTACTGTTGTGGTTTTAGTCAACAAGGAAAGAAAACAGGTTTCTTGTACTAATGTCAATAAATGTATGTCTATTTACAATGAAAATGGCTGCTCCATTTTCTGGTACAAGGTGAACAGTTGGAGGGATCCAAAGACCTGTAGCAAAGGGCCCCCCCACTGGAACTTGAATGCATTGGTAGCAATGGGGGAAGGGCTTCCCATGATAGCTGAGTTTTCTGAAGAAGCTGTGAGCTATGAGACTTCTCCCCTGCCGCCCTCACACCCATTGGCTTTTACCCGGCTGCAGATCACCTGCTTAGCTACTTCTGCCTCATCAGGTGTGACCAATCTGAGCTGCCAATGGAGAAAAGCAGAAAAACTTATCATTCCTGGGCATGTCCAGGAACCCAGGGAGTTGTGGGAAATGGAATTAAAGGGGCCGGTGTCTGCATCTGGTTATGGAAAGCAACAGTGACCTAAAATGAGGAATTGTAGATGAAAATAGTGACCGGAATTGTGATAAATGTGTAGTGGCAGACAGTAGCATTGCACAAAGACATCTCTAGTAATCTGTGATGATTTTACTTTTCAAAACACTGAATTTCTCAAAGTAAAAATGCCAACAAATGTAACATCGGCCATATCATAAATGTAGGGAATCTTGCAGAGGTCGGTGTTTTGGAGGGAGTGGTCCTGATGTATTTCTCCTAAACCACAAGAGATGAGGCTGGGAACTGAAGTTTTCTTATCTATATAATCTCAATATTTGCTCAATCCCTCAAAGTTCTGTGAGAAGTCTCATAGTGTTTCATTGTGGGATTTAGAGATTTTCCAGATCACACATCATCCATGGCCAACCCAAGACTCCTTGGTGGTTCCCTGGTCAGTATATGGAGCACTAAGGTCCGGGATATAAACAAAAGAATTTTGTGTAGTGACCACTGACAAATTCTTGTAGGATAAATCACCAATTATCATAATGGTGTCTTTAGCACTTGAAGTACTAAGATAGATTGCTACATCTGGGTGTATATGGGAAATAAATGGGGGTTTCAATGATAGCAGAGGGTTTGCACCCATAAATGTATTCCTTTATACATTGTTTGTGGTTTTTTTTAAATAATATGATTTCTTTCTCTCTGATTTTTGACAGTTTTTTCGCTCATTCGAATTATTGTTGTCTAAACCTCTAAATTCATCTGTGCGCATCCTGAACGTCAACAAAAATGTCACCGACAAATATACTGACACTTTTGATGTTACAACTTCCTTATCACATTTAATGATCATAGGAGATGAATCATTCACTCTGGATTTCACTGATCCGAATGGTACGTTCACGACTTACGACGACTTAGATTTACAGTAAGAACGTCTGAATGTATATACTGTATTATTTCCAACAACGGTAAGAAGATAAAACTGATGTCCACCATTTCTACAATAAAATGATAATGAATACAGCTATTATTATTATTATTATTATACAGGATTTATACAGCCAACATTTGCTCACATTCACACAAAGTGTCCTGGGAGTCGGCGGGTTTCACATTTTTTAAAACTTAGTATAAGGGAATTCTCTTTCTTCTCTTCTTGGTTCACCAGAAACCTGAGATGTGAAGACATGGAATGCATTAGTGACCCCAGATCTGGGTCATTCTATCATTATTCCTTTGTTGATGGGCTTTGAACTTCTGAAATCCTCCAGAATCCAGTGACAGATACATTTGATCTGGATCTGACCTTCTTCTGACCTACACTTGACCTGCTTCTAGCAGGTTTTGCATTAACATAGACTTGTATAGAGATACAAAACCCATTGAAAGTGAACAAAAGTCCATCAACACAGTGTTAATATTGATTGGAATAAAAATCCAGAAAGTGTGACACAGGGCAGGGAGGTCATTTGACTGCAA